GTGCGTGTGTGTGCGAGTGGTACGTGAGAGAGAGTGTGTGTACATGTGTGTATGCGTGTGTGCGTCTTGTATTTTTGAGATCGTTGCTTTCGCGCGGATCGGTATGGCTTTTTCTCTTTCAATCTCGCGCTCACACACACACACACACACACACACACACACACACACACACACAGACAGACACACACACACACACACACACACACACACACACACCCTCTCACTCTCTGCCCTCTTCGACACACGCACCTCTTCGTTGATGTCCGTGACTTTGACACCGTAGCGTGTGAGACACATGCGCACGGCGTCCTGGGCAGTTGCCACGTGTGCTACGTTGCCTTGAAGCTTCTGCTCATCAATGTACTCAATCAGCTCACTCCCTGATCGTCGCACACCAGACACCCGTCCAAGGAACTGCAACACACCGCGCAAGCGTGTGTGTGTGTGTGTGCGTGTGTGTGTGTGTGTGTGTGAGAAAGTGTGAGAGCAAGCAGAGGGGCAATGTGCGTGTGCTGTGTGCATGCGCTGTGTGATGATGGAAAAGCATGCACAAGCTGTCCAACTCCCCCCCCCCCACACACACACACATGCCAATACACACAATCCAACCTCCTCTCACCTTTAGGGTGAAGAGAAATCTTGAATCGAGTGTGAACAGCTCTTGTGCCTCCGTTGCTACAAGAAAACAATCAACACAAGCCAATCGTGAGTGCAGATGAGTGTGCGCTGTTTCCACACAAAAGCGACCAACACACACACACACAAATCTGTCACAATTGCACACACAAACAACACACACACACATACATGCGCATGCAGATACACATACAGACACATGCACATGCACACACACTCAACACACACACAATCAGCACGCACATACTCACACAATCAACACACACACACACACACGCTCTCACCGTGTGTTGCTCTTCTGGCCTGACCGGCCTGGGCTGCGTTGGATTTCTCCTCTGCAACCCAAAACGCAAGCGCAGTATCATCATCCACCCCAGCCATGGCGTTTGTCGTCCGTCCGTGTGCAACGTGTGCGTTGTGTTTGTTTGTTTGCTGCTGTGGTGGGTGTGTCCCCTTCTCTCACGCTCCTCTTTGCTTCTCCTCACTCTTCTCCTTGTTCGTTCTTCGTCGTCGTCGTTGTTTGTGTTTCGTGGTTTTGCCAATTGCATGGCATTGGGATGCAAATTGGAAGAGCATGCAAAAAAGTACGTATTGCCCTTGAAAAATTTACCTCCTTTGCAACAAACGGGACGTTCGCATGGCATCATGGCTGATTTTCGCCCTGCCTCGCTCAAGCCACGCACGCACACCGCACGCACGCCTGCCTGTTTTTTCTGTATCTCGTTGCAAGTTCTTGGTGTCAACCACCATAAACACACAAACCACAGCTGCTACTTCAAGCACGACCACCTGCTTGCTCTGCTTGCTCGTGTCTCGTTGGGGCACCTCTCCTTCTCCAATCAACTGTAACCGCCCTCCACACGTTCTGTCTGTTGTCGCGTCTGCTGTTGTGGGTGTCTGTGTGGGTGACAGCACCAGCACCACAACTGCTGCCGAGCCAGCTTGCTTCCACTCGTCGTTTCCTTGTCTTTCCTTGCTTTGGTGTCAGCAAACCAGCCTTCCCGGCCTGTCTGTTCTGTCTTTGTCTTCTTCTTGTCGATTGTCCTTCTTCGTTGTCTCCTTCTCCTGGTTGTTTGGTCTGTGTGGTCGACACCTTGCAATTGACTCAAAAGGTCGGTTGGGCCGCGTGATTGCTGGTGGCTCTTGTGGAAAGGGAGTTGTTGCACTTGCCTTGCCATGCACCTGCTTCGCCCGCCACGTGCATGCACGTGGTCCACGTGGCAGCGTGCACGCGTGGCAACTTGTGCACGCGAAAACCCGCGTGCCACGCGCCCATGCTCATGCCACATCTTTACTACCCCTGTTGTTTGTCACCATGCATTCATTCATTCATTCATTCACTCATTCGTTTGCTCGTTCGCGCTCGTTCATTCATTTGTGCTTCCCTGTCGACACACACACACACGCACACCCAATATGGGCAGGCTTGACTCTTGTCGAGCAGCGTTTGCTCGCTTGCACAAGTACGCGTGCGCGCTCATGGGCGAAGCGGTTGTCGCCGCCATGGGGCGCGTCATCCTCGTCCTCTTCCTCACCATGCTGATGGCCGTGCCAGCATTCACAACTGGTCCACACCCTGGATGGCGTAAGTGCTCGCTCCTCACCGTTGTTCGCCGGCTCGCATTCGCTCGTATTCGCTCGTTCGTTCGTGCGTGCGTTCGTTCGTTCGTTCGTTCGTTCGTGTGCTCCTGTTTGTCAGTCCACCAACCTGTGCAGCCACGCTCACTGACCAGCACACCCATGCAACCACAGCTCACACCAGCTTCTCGGTCACTGGCTTTTTGTTGTTGTTGCTTATCATGCCCCCTCATGCTGGTGCCTGGGTGCTTGCCACAAACGCCATTCCACTCGCTTTGCCACTCACTCCGCGTGTGCTCCATGTTACACAACAAACCCAGTCTTGTCGCCGTCCTCTGAGGGCATGGACCTCTCTTATGGAACCCTTTTTAAGCACAGGTGAGTACAGGGGAACGAATGCTGCTGCGTGCCCTCACAAACCCCGTCTTCTCACAACACCACTGTTCATTGCTCTCGACTCTTGTTCACTGACCACACACACACACACACACACACACACACGTTCACACGCAACTCTTGCCGTTGTCATCCTTCTCTCCCCTGTTATAGCCACTCCATCTCTGCCTCAACCGGCACTGCCACGGAACACCAGCATCAGTTTGTGACCGATGCTGCCAGCAGTGGCGCATCCCTACCCGCCCTTGTCCCGCCAACTGTCGACTTTGGAGACCAGTGCGTTGCCATTGTTCGCATTGCTCTTGTTCAACTTTCATTCTTGTGTTCCCATGCATCGACTGTCGACAACAGCCTCCCTTCTGCTTCTCTCCTTGTTCTTGTTCTTGCAACCCTGCACACTGCCCCCCATTGTTGTGTCAAATCGCTCCATGTTGCAGTGCAATCCACGCTGTCCCTCTCTCTCCCTCTCCCACCCGCTCATTTCACTCTTGTACGCCTCTTACCACTGCCACCCCTCCGCCCGCTCAACTCACACACACTCACACACACACACACACACACTCTCTCTCTCGCTCGACAGGCCGCTTTGTCGCGCTGTTCAATCCACAGTTGTTGTCGTCAACGTGAACGCCCGCTCGGAGCTGACATTGTTGTCGCTTTCCTCAAAGAGCAACGATGTGCATGCCTCATGGTTTGCGCGCGAGGTCATCCCGCCCGGGGAAAACACCACCTTCTCCATCGTGTTTCTTGGTCGCAGCCTCGGTCGCAGCGAAAGCACCATCCTCATCAGCACATCCCTCGGCGACCTCAAGTTTGAGGTGAGTCATTCATGCGCGCGCGCGCGTGTGTGTTAATGCGTGCCTGCGTGGTGTGTGTGTGTGTGCGTATGCTTGTGCTGGTTTCGTGCATATGATGGCCGAGCTTGCTTTCTTTGTGACCAGCCGCCAGCTAATTGACTGCTTCATCCTCCCCCCCCCCCACCCACACTTGTCCTCGCTCTCGCCCGTCTCAAGGTTACCGGGACGAGCGTGCGCAACCCGAATGGCCTGCGGCCATACGTTAACGGGCGCATCCCAAGCCACCTTCGTCTGGCTCAACCCATCCTCTTCTACAACCCGCACCCGTTTCCCATCAAGGTGAGCGAGGCACACGTGCAACACACCAACGCCAGCACACTCGACCAGCTGCGTGCATGTGTGTGTGTGTGTGTGCATTAACGTGTGCGCACATTTGCATAAATCCCTCGCTTAATATGTTTGTGAATGCACACAACCCCTCATGGTTGTGCTCCTGCGTGCCTCGCCATCACTTGCCTGTCTGCCTCTGTGCTGTCTATCAAGGTCGAAGAGGTGCTTTCGAGCACAGAGGAAATTCAGCTTGACATGAACGCCCTCTTCCTGGACAAAACCGATGGCGACGTCCAGGTGCGTGTGTGGGTGTGGGTGTGTTGGTGTGCCTCGTGTACTGCGTGAGCTCTGTGCCCCATTTACGTGGTGCCAACAATATTTTCTCCACCTTGCTTGAAACTTGTACCCCTGTTTTGGCTTTTTCCGTTTGCTAGATTTCGGACAAGGTGTGGGAGATTGAGCCATTTCGCATGAAGCCTCTCATTGTCGCCGTGGTCACCTCCGAGGTCAACCCCTACGTCTCTGTGAGTTGCCATCACCAACGCTGACTCGCCCGCGTACACGTACACGTCTGTGTGTTTGCTTGCATGCTCTTGATTTTGTCTGTGTGTTTATCTGTTCAAACATCCTCGTGTGCACGCACCACTGCGCGATGACTTAACCTTGTCCAGCAGCCGCTGCATGTGCTGCTTCCCTCCAAGCTTCCCTCCGCATTTCTCACACTCCATGTGGCGTTTTTCCTTGGTCCTTTGGCGATGCGTGTTGTGGGCACAGGGGTACATCAACGTTCGCACAAACCATACGCATGACAACGCCATCATCCCCGTGGAGATTGACATCTCCTCAGGTGCTTCCCCGCGTGCTTTTGAACCATTGCAGTTTTGTGCCTTTGTTCGTCCGTACCATATGGTGCATGGGTTGCTTGTCAGCAAGCCTCCCTTGCTCGTCCACATGACGTTCTGCTCCACTCATGCGTGCTTCGTCTGCCGACGTCAATCCGCTTGCCTCACTCATAACCTCCTGCCTCCCCTGCGCGCAGATGATGGCTTGTTTTATGGGCCTGGGGACAGCCTTGACTTTTCCATCGTGTACCGGTCCGACCCGCGCCGGCACAGGCCGCTCCAGCTCCTGTTTAAGGACTCAAAGAGCGTACGTAGCGGAGCGCCTGTGGCATGTCTCACGCCCATGTTCTGGTGTTGCGTGTGTTTGCGTACTGTGTCTGCACACGCGCGATTGTGGTTTCTCACCCGCTTGACTTGCGTTCCCTCGCTGTTTTGTGTTGCAAACACAGGCGGCGGTGGCCACGATTGGTGGTATCCGCGTTGTGCGGTGTCACAAAGCCACGGATCCAACCATCAACTGCCCCCACGTCACTGTCCACCACCGTCGCGAGCGTCTTCAGCTCAAGCCATGTACGATGCCACCACCGTTATTTTGTTGTGGTTCACGCTGTTCACGTCGCGATGGGCGTGTGTGTGTGTGCTGGTGTGTGCCTGATGTTGGACTTGCTTGCCCGTTTCCCGTTTCATTTTCTTGCCTTGCGGTCTACTGAATTGTTGTTCTGGACTGCTCTTCCTGCTGTCCTCACTCACATACACATACACATGCACGTGTGTGTGTGGTTTTGCCGTTTTGTAGATGTGTGGAGTCGTGTGGCGACCATCAGCCTTGCGTCTGCCCGGCTTGTGGAGTCGCCTGGTGTGTACACAGGCGCCCTCGCCGTGGAGTACATCACCTCACGCGACAACTCCAGAACACGCCTGCTGGAGGTGCCCTTCCACATTGACTACGCCGAGGGCTCGCTTGACCTGCCCAACCTCAACTCGAGCTTCTTCGTGAGCGGCCCGCCGTTTGAACCAGACACCCGAAGCTTCACCATCCATAACACGCTCCCCTTCCCCGTCAACCTGTCGGAAGCGCGTGTGCCCGCCTCAATCTCCAGCATCTTCAAGGTACGCCTATTATGTAATGTAGCTCGTTCACCCGCGACAGCTCATGTTCAACGTGGCTCCTTCCTCTCGCGGCTCGTTGAACGCGATTCGTTTCTGCCTTTCCCTCTCCCTCTCTCCCTTCCCCCATCTCTCGTTGTTGGGGTGGGTGCACGAGCAATTGATGATAACTTTACCACATGTTGGGTGACGGAGGCAGGCGTACTCCGGTACCCTCCTTCGATGGACCACCAACACTTAGCTCTAGAATTTCTGATGCGTGCAATCCATATCTTTTCCTTGACATGAGTTGTCCTGTCCTCCCTGCCTCTTGCGTTCTCCTCCTCCCCCTCCTCCTCCTCCTCCTCTCTCTCTCTCTCTCTCTCTCTCTCTCTCTCTCTCTCTCTCTCTCGCTGCTTGTGGCCGTGTGAGGATAACTTTACCACATGTTGGGTGACGGAATGAGCATTTATGTGCGACTTTCGATGGACCACCAACTTAAGCTCTAGAATTTCTGACGGCCACTCGTTGAACTTTTGTTGATGTCCGGGCTGCTGACCCACGTGGTCAACGTTTCTCTTTTTACCTCCTGTGCTTGCTCCTTGCTTGTTTGCACGCACCTAGCTCACACACACGCACGCACACACGCACACGCACACACGCACACGCACACGCACACACCAATCCACAGGTGTCTGGCTTTGAGCCAACCATCCTGGGGACCAACAAGTCCACCACGCTGGATGTCACGTTCCAGGCCAACTCGTCTGATCTGAACGTGCACTCGAGCGTCATCGTGGCAGCTAATGCCAGCGAGGTTCCACTGTCCATCCCCATTTTCAGCTACAACGGCATGCTCAAGTACGCCGTCAGCGATGATGTAAGTACCAGCTTCAAAAGCCCCCCCCCCCACGCCCCATGCACATACATATGTGCATGTACCCCACGAGCACTTTTCTGCAGCACCACAGACAACAACAACAACTACCACCACCACCACCACCACCACCACCACCACCACCACCACTACTACTACTACTACAGCGACAACTACAAACAACAAACAACGCCCGTGAAACTATCCATTGTCGAGCGAATTCCCACCTGGCATTGGTATAAACACAGGCCACAACAACCACAGCTCTTCAACACCTGTGTTTGCTTGCGGTTCTTGCCGAGAACTGTCAACAGCAGACCCATGTTGTCGAGCCGTGTACATTCCACACTGGTTGCATTTCTTTCGACACCCAAATTCTTGCCATCTGCAACTGCCTTGCTCCATGCACACACCTCTTCTTACTCCCATCCTTCGCTGACACACGCTTGTGTTTCCTCCATCCTCTCTTTTTCTTTTTCTTGTAGGGTTACGATGATGTGGCGTTTGGGGCTGTGCCTCTGGACAACGTGGCGACAAGCCCACTCCGGGTGCTCAACCCCAATCCCGTGAGTGTATCCATGCTGTCATATTCAAGCTCTTTGCCGGAGGTTGGCCTGGAACTCGTCAACGTGGCGCCGTCTCCAGAGCACATGGAAGTTGTCGAGTACGGGAAGATCTACAGCTCGCACTGGCAAGAGCCCCTCACCAAGGAGTCCCACACCGACGTGTCTTCGGATCAGGTGCGTGCGCGTGATGTTGCGTGAGCCAACGACGCCACAAGGCTGTCAAGCACTCGAATGGGGACGAACCGCAACACATGTGTGCCACAGTGCTTCAAGAGAGCGACAGCACACCCAACATTCCTTGCGAGCAGCCACCACGATTGCACACACAATAGAACAAAACACGAACACAGTCGCACACACACACACACACAGAAGCGTGCACACGCACACACACAGTTGCACACACAGTCGCATCAACACAAGAGTCACCCGCATGCACGTAGCCACAGCCGCAGCCATACACACACAACTTACGCTCACACACTTGTTGTTTCTCCTCGCTGATGCGGGTGCATTTGCAGCATGACTTCAACTTGGTGCTGAAGCCCGGGTACATTGCCACGTTCAGCGTCACCGTGTCACCGAACAAAGGCAAGCACACCGGCAGCCTGGAGCTGCGCTCAACCTACCACAACATCCACGTTCCCGTGTCCTACGAGGGCGCTCGCCGTGCAATGCAATTTTACCCGACACGCGTCGTCTTCAACGCCAGCTACCCTTGGCAGCTGCTGCTTCACAATGACTACGGCATTGAGTTTTCCGAGTCGATGCGGCCCCTCGTCCAGCCGCAGACGGTGCCGCTGCACATCAAGCCTGCGGACCGGAACGTCACCATTGACCGCATCTCCACCACCGATCCGCGCGTGGTGCTGCGCCAGAACCCGGCCGTTGTTCGCGGCGTCCGCGCCAACTCCTCCACCAACATCCTCATTGGCCACATTGTGTTCAACGCCTCCCTGGGGCCCGAGGAAGACAACTACATGCCCAAGGTGCGCCGGCACTTCAACTCGCTCACCCGCCCAGCCGTGCTCACCCGCGGCGATGTGGATGAGGTGGTGCGCTGCAACAAGCTCTGGAACACGCTCAGCCGCCGCAGCAAGACGGACGTCGTGGCATACCTGACGCTCGAGGCCAGCGGCGAGAAGCCCCACGTCATCGACGTGCAGGCGCCGCTCATGAAGCCGTCCATCCTCTCCACCCCAGACCTCGCCTTTGACCTGACCCATGTGAAGATGACGTCGACCCGGCCGTTTGTCATCACCAACCCAAGCGACATGCCGCTGCTCGTGACGATTGTGCCCGTGGACGCCATTCCCGACGGCCCCATGATTAGCGCCCTCGAGCAGGCCATGGCCGTCACCCACGCCGAACTCAAGTCTGCGCGCCAGCACAAGGGCGTCTTCTTCTCCACGCCATACCCACTGGACACCAACTCCACGGAGTACCTGAGAGGCTTTGCCAGCGACCGCGTGTCCGTTGGCGGCAGTGCAGCGCCGCGGCGGGCCCACTGCGGCGACGAGTGCGTCGACGGCCTCAATGACAACGCCTTCTTTCCAGAGGGGGAGGTGCCGGACGACTTTCTGCGCACCGCCCAGAAGACGCGCCAGCTCGCCAGCCCGCACCTCGATGAGTACGACGAGCTGGACGACGGCACGGGCAACAGCAACCCGGGCGGCGTATCGGACTCTGCCAGGCAGCATCTCACCGCAGCCAGCAACACCAAGCACAAGCTCGCCGCAGCCAGCCTGGCCCGTGCTCCCCGCGGCCAGCCGCTGGTGCTTGACTTTGAAGGCATCAGTGGTGGTGGCGCCTGGGCCTCCGCTCGCACCGACGGCCACGGCCAAGCTGACGAGGACGAGGGCGAGGAAGACGACGAAGCTGATGGACCTGTGCTCGTCCCCGCATCAACCTTCCTTGGCCTCTCGCCAACAGCTACGGAGGAGGAACGCCGCGCCGCATCCACCAAGGCACAGCGCCGGAGGTGGGCGCTGCTGCTTGAGCCCAGACAGAACGTCACCATCAACGTCAACTTTGCGCCCGAGGACACGGGCTTCATCTCCTCGTACCTCCTGCTCGTGAACAACCTCACCATTGTCGAGGCGCTGCACGTCACGGGCGAGGCCGGCCGCGGCTCGTTTGGCTTCCCAAAGACCCAGCCTCACATCCTCAACGGCACCCTGTCCATGCGCGTGCGCGAGAAGGACCTGCAGCACTGCCTTCGCGCCGGTGGCCTCACCCAACAGGAGACTCAGCACACGTTCATCTTCAACTTCACTGTTGTGAACCGCGGGAACATGCCCGTCACTGTTAGCGACATTGGCGTCAACGGCAACGGCTGCTCCGTCGACGGATTCACCGTGTTCACGTGCAAGCCGTTTGTGCTCCGCCCACGCGAGCACCAGAAGATGGTCATTGGCTTCAGGCCCGACTTCACCACGGCCACCGTCAGGCGTTCGCTTCACGTCAAACTCAACAACGTGTCACAGCTCACCTTCCCCATGACAGCGTGGCTTCCTTCGGACATGCTCGCCCCATGCTTCGCCGCGCTTCCCGGGCCCGCGTGGGCCCAGTACTTCAAGCACACGGTTGTGGTCGGTATTGTCCTGATTGCCCTTGTTCTAGCCATGATTGAGTACCGGTTTGGCACGCTTCGCATGCACCTCAGCCGCGCAGCAGCGTTTGCCGCGCCCGCCCGCGCTGATACCACCGTCACCCAGCAGCAGCAGCAGCAGCAGCAGGAGCCGCCGCAGCCGTCCCAGGCTCGTGGTGCTCGGTCAGCTTCCAAGCCCACCGACGACGCCTCAGCCTCGGCCTCCTCAGCAAGAGCAGCCGCTCAAGCCACAGTGATTGACAAACAACAGCAACAACAACAGCAGCAGCAGCAGCAGCAGCAGCAGCAACAAACGTCGCAGCCATCTTCGTCATCGTCCACACGGCGTGGTCAGGCCAAGAAGCAGGCTACTGGCAAGTCATCGTCAAAATCAAAGAAGCGCGGCAATGGCGGACGCCGCAGCGGCACATCCTCCGTGTCCAGCGCTTCGCACGATCGCAAGTCTGGCAATGCCAGCAGTGGCACCTCAAGCACCAGCACAAGTCGCACGTCCACTCCTCCTGTTACAGCCTCTGCGTCCCCGCCACTCGGTGATGAGCCAGTCCAGTTCCCACCCACACGTGCGGCCGCAGATGCCGGATCTGGCAATAGCGCGGGCCACGTGCTGACGGGGCCCGTTGACAAGGCGCCGGCGGCCCAGCAAGGCAAAGGGAAGAAGACCAAGCATGCGAAGACGCAGCACGCCGGCAAGCAAGCGGCGTCCAAAGCGAGGCCAGGCACGCCCGAGACCCTGCACGGGCGCGAGCGCGAACCAAGTTTGCAAACGACGGCGGCCAGTGTCCCGCAACGCTCAGCCGCAACTGAAAGGAAGAAGCCGCGCAAAGCAGCACACGCACCGGGTCACCCCTCGTCGTCCTCCGCGTCGTCCTCCTCGTCCACCGATGCATCCTCACCTGCAGCTGCACCAACAGCAGCAGCAGTTCAGCAGCCACCGCCAACACAGACAGACGGCAGCGGCCCCACGACAGAACCTGCCACGTCCACAATCACGCGTGCTCCTGGTCAGCACGAGCGAGACGATGGCAGGAGAAGTAGCAGCAGCGGTAGCGGCGGTGGTCGAGGCAGCACGAACAGTAATGTTGCCGCGGCTGCTGAACTGGTTGGTGGCAAGAAGGCTGGCCGTCATCAAGGCAAGCGGCAGTCCAGGGTCCGAGTCAGGCAGGGCGCAGCCCCCGCGCTCAAACAGCCTGGTGCGCTGCCTGCTGTGCAAAACCACGACGCCCTCATTCGCCAGGCCTTTACCCTCTTTGAGGAGCGGCATCACCTGAAGGCAGCTGACCGTGCTGAAGAAGGGGGTGAAAAGCCGGCCGAAGAGGCCGAGGATGATGATGGCGAGGAGGCGGAGGAGGAGGAGGATGTGCGCGAACAGACGCATGGTCGTACAGAGGTCCCCGCCGCAGGCGCCGTTGGCGACCCTGACTACGACGTTCTCACCCGGCATCAGCAGCCGTTGGCGAGCAGTGAGAGCGTCTTACAACCAGATCAGTCCCACGCCGCACCCTCACCCATGTATGCTTCGGTGGGTAGCCACTTGACCAGCGCTTACGTCAACGATGGCCAGTTACCACAGCAGCAGCAGCAACAGCACAAGGCCCCGGCAGCACACGGCACCAAGACGTACGCCCAACTTGCTGATGGGCGAGCACAGCCGCAGGCATCTCTGCTGCAGCCTCCCCGTGCGTCTGAGTCGTCAACGACTGGCTTGGTTGGGCAGGGCGTTCCTCATGCGCAGTTCCACGAGGGCACGTTTGGCCAGTCGCAGTTTCTGACTTCGCACCAGGAACCGCAACTGCCACAGCAACAGGCCCTGGGGCCGTCGCTACCACAGTTGGACGAGCGCTTGGAGGCGGCGAGACACACGGGCTGGCCGATGGCCACGGAGCCTGCCGCGTCGTCCCAGGCACCAAGCTTCTCGCCCTTTGGCCTGTACTCCTACGACGACAGCCGCACCACCTTCAGCGACACGGATGCCCTGCTGGAAGCGTCGACCTCGCAGACGGTCATCCACGACCCATTTGCAATGTATGGTGGCGGTAGCCTCCTGGAACAAGGCCCTCACCACACGGAGCCTGTGGCAGCCACCACCACCACTCAAAGCGCGCACCACGCTCATCAACAACAGCCGCCGCCGCAGCAGCAGCAGCAGCAGCAGTACCAGCACTTCCAGCAGCAAAATTTCCAGCAGCACCAGCAGACACAGCCACAGCAACTGCCATCCTCTGCAACCTTTGCCAGCACCAGCACCAGCACCAACAGCAACCTTCGCAGCAGCCATGGCAGGTACCATTACGGGTATGGCACGTCCAGCACTGGGCTTGGCCTGCCGAGCGAAGCCTTGGCTTCGGCCATGCAGGAAGGGTGGGACGATCGATCCCTGGCTTCGTCGACGAGTGTCGCCATGCAACATGCGGATGCTGGGCTTGCCACCTCATCGCCGTCCCTCCCTGCCCGGTATGCGATGGCACCGCCGTACATTCCACAAACGGAGCGGTTTGCGGAGGCGTCGTCCTCGTCGTCACCATCGACGTACACGTACGGGCACCCTGAAAGCACGGGGTTGTTGGGCCAACAACCAGCGACGAGCTTGTCGGCACAGGCATCGTCGAGCACTTCGCCGTTTTTCTCGGGAACCTATGTTCCATCGTTCTCCTCCTCGTCGCACGAGTCGCAGCATCAGCAGCACTCGCTGTCGCATGCTTCGTCGACCGACGACGCCTTTTCCCACTACGAGGCAGCCACGGACTACGAGAACTACACAGCCTCTGCCACCTGGACCGAGGGCCTGGCGAATCTGATGCCGCAGGTTTCTTCGGACGAGCCGTACGTGCCTACAATTGGCGACGACCAACTCCTTGGCACTGGCGTGTCTTTCTTTGGCCAGGGCACCAGCTCCCCGTTTTACTCGTCAGTGCCCATGCACCAAGGCACGACGGCGTCTGCCACCTCGTCCGCCCCCGCCTCGAGCCTGCCGTCCACGACCGCAACTGCGTCGTCTACCGCAGGCCTTTTCACCCGCGAGACGGCCATCTGGTACGTTATCGCTGAGCTTGTGTGTGCGTGCATGTGTGTGTGTGTGTGATGGCAGCCTGTACGAAAATTGTGCTTGTGATGAGAAATGTGCCTTCATGAGATAGGTGCCTCGTTGTGAGTCACTTGTGCATTGCATTGTGTTTCCGGCTCACCTTCTAATGCGCACATGTTTGACTGTCTGTTTTGGGTAGGGCGTCAAGTGTTCCATGGAGCCAGGGAGCAGGGGACGATGATGAGGAAGACTGGGGCCGTGCCGCCCGGGATTTGTTGAACCCTCCTCCTCCTTCTTCTTCCAGTTGATCTGCCGGTGTTTTCGCTGCGTCTCCTGTGTTGCGTTGTCGTCCAACTTAGAGCGCAACTAACAGGTGAACTTCCTCCAATACTGCCGACAACAACAACAACAACAACAACAACAACAACAACAACAACAACAACAACAAAACAATGCTGCGTTTCATGTGATGGTGGTGGTGATGCGATGCATCAGCACCAACAGCCGCACAAGCAACACAGCAACTGCGAGTTGTTTGTGCGGAGCGTCTTCGTGAATGTGTCCTTGATACGTGCAAGCGTCTTGTCTAAGCTTGCTCGCCATGTGATTCCCTCTCCTCTATTGCTGCCTGTACTCGTCTTAATATTTGATGTCAGCAATGTAAGTAATGCTCGCGTCCGTCGTCTTATCCTCAGAGAACATTTCGCTAGTTGTGATTGATTTTCGTGTCCTTGTGTACTTGCGAATAAGCCACTGAACAGGCGTGGTGTTGGTTGCTTGAATCTGTCACACGTTTTCGCCAATGGGTTTGTTGAGTGCGCGCGTGCCTCTTGTGTTGCGTGTGATTTGCGGGATGATGGGTTCCTCGTTGCGCTGCGTGCGTGAATTGCGTCGTTTATTCATTCGCATCGCGTGGGCATGTGTCAGTGAGCACACCCCAACTTCCTCCCTCAGCGCATACACACACGCGCGCGCGCGTGTGTGTGGTGACGGCACACGTCGACAGCTGTTGTCAAAACACAAGTAAACTAACATCTCGTACACGTGCACAGCCAAGAAAAATAAAAAGCAAGAAAAAGAGAGAGAGGGGGGGGGGGGTGGAACATGGGCAGAGGGCAATCATGAAAGTTGATGGTGGTGTGTCAGGGCTCAACGCTGATGAACACTGCACGTGGGGGTACGTGTTGTCCAAGGAGTCCTTTTGCCGCAGGCACGTCGACGTGACAGGATACAACCACGCCAAACCCTCGCTGCACCACGCCCTCCTGATATGCATGTGTGATTGAGTGAGGGAGGGAGTGAGGGAGTGAGGGAGTGGTGCGTGCGTGAGGGAGTGAGGGAGTGTTGGGCTGTCGTACAAGGAAGGTGCATGAGAAGTAGAGATATGTAATTCAACTAACACAACCTTGGTGACGCTGAGGATGGCTTGGTGATCCACCACGGCATGAAGGGCTTGATGGGGGAACATGGTGTCGTTTGCAAGCAACGCGTCTGTGTAATGTGGGCAGTCGAATGTGCACGGACGAGTGCACACACAAATGAGTAATGTGCTAGCGATTGCGATGTGGCGAAGCAAAAGACAAAGGCAGGAGTTCCACATGACGACAGCCCTCGCACACGCACGCACGCACACGCACGCCAACGCACCAAAGTGCGCAGATGACGTGGAATGCTTGCACTGCAACACAAGCGGAACGCCTAGATGGACGGCGCTCGTGAGTTTTTCTTTCGCTGAAACGTAGAAGGCGCCGTAGTCGCTTCTGTTGCCCAGCTCCGACGCGTCCACAGCCAGGCATTTCTGGTGCAGGTGAGAGAGTGTGAGTGTGAATGAGTGAGTGAGTGAGTGAGTGAGTGAGTGTGTGTGTGCGTGTGTGTGTGTGTGTGTGTGCGTGTGTGAGTGAGTGAGTGAGTGAGTGAGTGAGTGTGTGTGTGTGTGTGTGTGTGTGCGTTGCGCGGGTGGCTCTCAGGCTCAAGCGCAAGGTAAGCCTGATCGAGGAAGGTGGTTGAGTACTCACTGAATACTCCAGGAGTGTATCAATTGCCTGCGTTGCATTGACGAGCACCGGTACTTGTCCTTGATGGCAGAGGCGATCAACAACACTCACAACCTGCAAGACACAAGTACACCAATGCATGATACATTGGGTTGGCAGCATGAGTCCACGGTCTTTTAAGACAGCGCAGCTTGCGTTTGCAGAGCGGTCGTGTGTGTGTGTGTGTGTGTGTGTGTGTGTGTGTGTGTGTGTGTGTGTGTGTGTGTGTGTGTGTGTGTGTGTGTGTGTGTGTGTGTGTGTGTGTGTGTGTGTGTGTGTGTGTGTGTGTGTGTGTGTGTGTGTGTGCGTTTGCAGAGCGGTCGTGTGTGTATGTATGTTTCGAGGGAGGAAAACCCACAATTTACATGTGTGGTGTGTACGACCTCATTCGCGGGAATGGGTACTGGTGCGTCCTTCGGATGGACACACACAGTGGTTGGTGACAAGTTCGCGAAATGCTCCTAATGTGTGTGCATGACCGGCACAGAAGTTGTGTTACTCAATGAACAAGTGATGTAACGCAAGGGTACAGTAAAATGCTCGGAAACAATGCAGGGCGTGAGAATCTTCAGCACATGACAGCAGCATATGAGGAGAGCAGTGATGCGACACAAGTCACCTTGATGTCGCCTTCAAATTCCTTCAAGCTCCCCGTGATAACGAGACCGATACCGAAACCTGGCAATATCGACGGCAGCACACAATTCCCCATCCACGACCCATGCTGCATTGTCAGCCAAGTGCAACAGCGTAGAGAAAGTGGCTTGCACCACACCACAAAGGAGAAGGTACAACACTGTCACGGCAACAGTGGGAGCGAGGCAGTGGCAAACCAACACCGTGTGTGCTTACCCGGTGTTTCTGTTGGTGGACCATCTTTCCCTCGGACAAACATTGGGCGAATTTGAGCCCTAAATCGCAGAGTGTGGACATGTGAATATGTGTGTATATGCGCGCATGTGCATGTGTATGTGCATGTGTGTGCAGGGGCAAACGTGCCTATTCATGGAAGCACGAATGCAGAGACAACAAGACCCATACAGATATGCACACAGACTGGTTACTCTCGCTGTCTTACGTTGTGGCTGTGGGCGACAACGCTGCCAAGGGAAACTGCTTCTGTTGTGTTGTGATGGCAGAGCTGGCGGTTAACTTGGCTTGGCAGCAGACAGCACGCACACGCACGCACACACACACACACACACACACACACACACACACACACAGACACAGACAAACACACATGCACGCACACACCTGATACTTGGGATTGGTGCAAATGCGCTTAAAGTTTGGGAACTTATCCGTGATCTTCAGCAGCAGCGGTAGCCCTGCAGCCGAGTGATGGACAGAAAAGAATGGAGATGTGACAACGCCTACGTGACTTGATGGTGGACAATTGCGGCATGTGGATCGATTGCGCGTCAGTGCCACATCGCGTTGTGAGTGTGTTGCGGCGTCTGTTTCTTGTGTGTCTTGCGTGTGCGTGTGTGTGTGTGGGTGTGTGTGTGTGTGTGTGTCTTGCGTGTGTGTGTGTGTGTGTGTGTGTGTGTGTGTGTGTGTGTCTTGCGTGTGTGCGTGTGCGTCTTGTGTGTCTTGCGTGTGTGTGTCTTGTCCTTCAGGTGTTACACACACACGCGCGCACACATACAATGCGTCTTGTGTGTCTTGCGTGTGTGTGTCTTGTCCTTCAGGTGTTACACACACACGCGCGCACACATACAAACACAAACACACACACGCGCGCGCTCTTGAATGACAGCATGAAACCCCAATTGACAGCAGACATTAACGTCAAGCAACCATTGATCGCTTTGCAACAGCACCTTCTTTTCGTGCTTGCACGAGGGCCTTGCGCGCAGACTCCACAGCATCGGGCACTGAGACTTTGGTTCTGGTGTAACATGGTCATATAAGTGGTGAATGCGTGAAAAGAGCGTTCATTGATGCATGTACACACTCATGGAAGCGGTCCACGTGTGTATGTGTGTATGTGTGTGTGTGCTTGTGTGTGGTTGTACGCGCGGTGTACATCTCATGTTGTTTGGATGTGCGTGTATGTGTGTGCAAGCCGCTTGCTCACCGTGCAAATGGCAGCGCAAGGGGCGCTGTGTCGAAGATGATGACCTGACGAGCAAGCAACAATTGCCACTCACGTGTGAGAACAATACCATCTCTTTGCAAATCAAACAACGCATGCATACAACAGCAATTGCACATGCACACGCTGCACATTCGCGCATCATGCACACAACCTTGTTCTCGGCAGCAAGTGAGTCCAGCTCAGCGTGGGTCGAAGACGCTGTGTTGACAAAGACGGGAAGTTGGCGCTGGTGTTTGAACATGGCCGCAACAACACCGGCACACATGTCCGCATGTACGTGCACGTCCCAGTCGGCCAACAGCGACAGTGATGAGGAGGAGCCGGCCTGTTCTGTGTCGGCCTTGGCGCCCATTGACGATGATGATGCCTGAGCACCATCACTGGCACCGTCGTCATCTTCATAATCGGGCGGTCGCACGCCAGAGATTTCGTGCGTCGCCGTGTGCACATACACATAGAAGCCCTGATCGTGATGTGAGTGATGCGTGTGATGTGAGTCATGTGTGATGAGCGATGAGTATGCGTGCATTGATGCATGCATGACGTGGGGTGTGCATGCGAGCTCCATGTTGCAACAATAGCATCAGGTGCAAATTCTAGGACTGATGACGTGTGAGCACGCCATGCGAGGCCACTCGAGAGCGTGTGCAAACGCATGTGCAAATAAGCACCGAACACCCCTCTTCTTCCACTTCTCATCATCCACATGCGCCCTTACTTGGCTGTTTAGGACGCGAAGCCAGCGTCCAAGCGCCCTCTCCTCCTCGGACAGATGAAGACGTGAGAAGATACCTGAATACATGCACACGCAAAGCGTTCGAGTTCGTTGGCAGTGGCGGTAGTGGTGGTGTGAGAGGTGGTCGCGGTGCCGGGTTGAGCGAAGAACAGCAGGGCACCTGCACACCAACTTCCGTTTCGAAGTGGGTGGGAGATTCTGCCAAGAGCAACACACACACACACACACACACACACACACACACACACACACACACACACACACACACACACACACACACACACACACACAACACACACACACACACACACAACACACACACACACACACACACACACACAGACACAGACACAGACACAGACACAGACACAGACACACACTATGCACCATACATATCAGATCAAGCCATGTGGACATCCACGATGTGAGTACGTACTGTGTGCGTCCTGCCCGCCGGCGTTTGCGGTCATGAGGGCTTCAAAATCCTTCTCCTGTTCATATTCTTCAGCGCTGCCACCGAGCGCTTCGCTGTAATCCGGCCGCTCGCCGGCTGCACACGACAGTGGTGGTTGTTGAAAGGTGAGTTGAAAGTGGGGCGAGCTTGACAACACAATGAATAATGAACATTGCAATGTGACACATGTACGCACACACACACACACGCCCGCATGCTCTCTCAACCGCACATACGTGCACACAGCGCACATGCACCGTCGTACCCTTCATGCCCTGGACGTGACGAGTGAGTGCGGCTTCATATTCTTCCTGCGTCTCAAAACCGGCACGCATGTGGGGCAATACATGCGCATCATGTTGTTGTTGTTGTTGTTGTTGTTGTTGTTGTTGTTGTTGTTGTTGTTGTTGTTGTTGTTGTTGTTGTTGTTGTTGTTGTTGTTGTTGTTGTTGTTGTTGTTGTTGTTGTTGTTGTTGTTGTTGCTGCTGTTGTTCTTGGTGGTGGTGATGGTGGTTTTCACCTTGTGTGTGCGTGCTTCCACTCACAGCACCTTCCTGCTGACGTGCTGTCACATCTGCAGACCCTTCGCCGTGTGCCATCGCCGCCATTTCCGGCTGCTTGCCCGCTGACGAGGAGGCGTCCGATGATGCACGCGAACGCAATATGGACCTGGGTTTGAGTGACGACGTGACAATGGCAGCCAGGTCGACGGGCACAGACGCGCGCCGCACAACACGCGAGCCGGAGGAGGTGGCGGATGTGATGGATGTGTTGAGCACACTCGACGTGAGCGATGCTGCCAGCGCTGTGGACGATGAGTGAGAGGGCAGTGCGGTTGGTGGGTTGTGTAGGAACATGAGCGGGACATGGGAGGCAGCAGACGATGATGAGGCGTCTGTCGCCGCGCTGCTGTTGCTGCTGTTGCTGCTGTTGCTGCTGTTGTTGCTGTTGTTGTTGTTGCTGTTGCTGCTGTCAGTGCTTGCACCATGAGCAGTGTTTGCGGCAATTACATTCGATTGCTGTCCTTGCTGCTTGGTGTTCGCGGATGCATCGCCAGCAGACGGTGTCAGCCCTCTGCTGTCTGACGCAGCTGCTGTGTTAACGTCGGTGGCGCCCTTTACCGGAGGTTGGATGTACACGGGCCGGCCGATATCATCCTCCTCCGTGCTGTCAGTGCTGCTCTTGACGCTGCCGTGTTGCGCCTTGCGCTTTTCTGCCGCGTCCGATTGTTCTGCGGGTGCATCTGGTGCCTTCTGTTCTGTGGGTGCCGCGTTGCCTGATGTCCCTGTTGCCGTCTGTGTGTTGCGGGAACCTCCACCACCGGCGTCGCTGCCGTCACCACGCCCACCGCTGCCACTGTCACCACTTGTTGTCGAATCTGTGCTGCTTGCAGACTGCGCTCGCTGCTCCATCTCTGCCTTGGCCAACAGCACGCACTCCTCGTAGTCCGGGTCGGTCTCATTGACGATGAGGGTGTCGTGGCTCCTGAACCGAACAAGGCGGTCTTGTTCCGTCTCCTCGTCGTCTGCTTCGCTCACGTGCACTTGTGCAGGCGGAGGAGGAGCAGCAGTAGCAACAGCAGCAACAGCGGTGCTGCGGTTCCCAACGCCGCTGTCCACGGTGTGCCGCCGCGATCCCTGGCTGGTCTTTGACGCTCTCAGGGACCCGTACCTGTTGGAGGTGTCCACAGCGACACGGTGGTAAGGCTTGGACTCCCTCCTCTGGGCCTCAGTAGCCGCGTGTCCATTGCCGATGGCCATCATGTGCTTGAAGCGGCTGTCTGTGTGGTGCAGGAACCCGCGCGAATGGATCTTCAGCGCCGCGGGCGTGGGCTGGCGCAGCGACGCCGAGTCCGCTGTTCGGGCCAGCCTCACGTTCGTGCTGGCGGGAGCAGACAAGCGCCTGCCACCATTCGCGCTACCGCCGCCAGCGGCAACACGGAGGTTCGTCGTTGGCTGTGGCATGCGCGCAGCAGACGCACGCGTGGGCTTACTCTCCATCATGCCACCGCCATGGCTGTTGTTCTCTCGAACAGCAGCAGCCTTGGAGGACCCACACCCCATCTCGCACACCCAGGTGGTGGTGCTTCTTGTGTGCGAGCGTGGCGGTGGCTTGTGTTTGTTTGTTGGCTCAAGAGAGGAGGGCAGGCAGGGTAAACAACGGAAATCAACACCAAATAAAGTAGTGTACACAAACCACTCTGGTCTTGCTTGCTTGCACACACCGCGCTTGTTGCTGGCGGCTGTCCTGCGTGGCTGTTGAAGCTGTTTGTTTGTTGTTTGTGTGTGTGTGTGTGTGTGTGGCACACATCCTGCTGCTGCCTGTGCTTGTTGTCTCACTTCTTGATCGTTGTGGTACCTTGCTCCTCGCTGCCACTACGAGTACCACTGCAACTACCACACTCTTTTTTTGGGGATAGGAGTGCCGCCACTGGGGCTGCTTGTTTCCTGCGTGCTTGCTTGCTTGCTTGCTCGTGGCGGTCTGTGATTTGACACACCGGATACTGCCTTTTTGTTCTCCCCGTGTACAAGCAAGTTCGTGTTCCTTTTTTTGTGTTGTTGAGCGTTGTCCTGGGTGACCAGAAGGATGCGCAGCCACGTTGACATTGTCCTCATCGGAGACCGTACGTGTGCCTCTGTGTGTGTGTGTGTGTGTCTGTCTGTGTGTGTCTGTCTGTCTGTGTGTCTGTGTGTATGTGTGTGTGTGTGTGTGTCTGTGTGTCTGAATCACATGTGCTTCACGCACACGCACACGCACGCACACGCACACGCACGCACACACGCACACACACGCACACGCACACACGCGCGCACACACACACGTGCACAATGCATAGTAGTTGACGCGTCGTAGACTGGTTTCTATGTCTCATCACACACTGGTTGTGTGGGCTTGTACATGTTTATGTTGGGTTCAGGCGACGTGGGCAAGACGACACTGATCACGTCTGCACAGACGGGCAAGTATGAGCCCAACGTCCCTCCGTTACTCGAGGTCATCCCACTGCCGCCAGAGACGCTGCGAGAACCTGTCGCCGTCTCCGTCACGTACGTCAAGTTGTGTGTGTGTGTGTGTGTGTGTGTGTGTGTGTGTGTGTGTGTGTGTGTGTGTGTGTGTGTGCGTGTGTGTGCGTGTGTGTGCGTGTCTGGTACGGGGAACCTGGTTTGCCTCAGACCACAGCATGCATGTCGCCCCGTGGCGCACGCCAAGCATGCACGTCAAGCATGCACCGATTCTGCTCACGAACCTGCGTGCGTGCGTGTACCTGCGTGCTTGTCGTCTGTTGTGGCCACTCGACAGCGACACCTCGTTGCGGTGCCAAGAGGAAGGCGACATCGTGGAGGCAGTCAAGGCGGTACGTGAGCACATGCGAGGGTCACGCAAGAAAATGTGGTTGTATGGGGACAGCAAGGGCCGTTCCATCGGACCTGCGCAGGTGGTGTCGACAATTCCCACCTTCACAACACTTCACGCCAACACACACGCGAACCACAAACATGGTCACTCACTTTCTTTGGTTTGTTGGCTGTTGGCTGGTGCAGGCTGACGCCATCTGCATTGTGTTTGCTGCCGACGACGAGGAGAGCATGATCCGGGTGAGCACATATTGGATGCCACTCATCACGGACGCGCTGCCGCCAGATGCCCCGACCCCGGTTCTCATGATTGGCAACAAGGTGCACATGTGTGTTGTGTGCGTGTGCGTGTGTATGTGTGTTGTATGCGTGCGCGTGTGTATGTGTGTTGTGTGTGTGTGTGTGTGTGTGTGTGTGTGTGTGTGTGTGTGTGCGTGTGTATGTGTGTTGTGTTGTGTGTGTGTGTGTGTGTGTGTGTGTGTTTGTTTGTTGTTTATTCTACGTCACATCAGCCCACATGTGTTTGCGTGCGCGCGCACAGGTGGACAATTCTGTGGGCGTTTGGGTATGATGACGACCTCTCACTCAACGAAGAGTACATGTGTCCAACGTACGTGTGCTTGAGTGTGTCTAACGTGTGCGTATGTGTGTGAAACCCCTATTTCCGCTCTTGTGGGCCGCCTCTTGCTCGTCTCTTCTGCTGAGGCCCTCAAACCACGACAACCGCACATGCAGACATGCACATACACCCCCCGTGCGCTCACCCACACACGCCCAAACACACACACACACACACACACACACACACACACACACACACACACACACACACACACACACACACACACACACACACACACACACACACACACACACACACATTATTGTCACACTTCACACACACACACACACACACGAACATGTGTGCGTTCACACCGACACGATTTGTGTCGTGCTCGTGTTTAGGCTTGAGCTGGAGAAGGACAGTGTCCCCGAGATCAGTCCCATCGGAATGGAGTTCCTAATTCGCCTCTTTCGGCAATACGACGTGGTGGGTCATGTTGGATATCGTGTGTATACGCCGCGCGCAAGCACTCTCACACGCAAGCACTCTCACACGCGTGAACGCGCAACGCAACACACCTTCACACACCGCACACACCACTGCTCATTGTCCACCATCACGATCACCAACATGATGGCACGTCTTCTTCACAGGATGGCAGCGGGCTGTTGTCGCAGGAACAACTGGAGCGCGTGTTTGAGGTCTGCCCCGCAGTGCCCTGGGCGGTACGTACACGCAACATGTACACGCACACCCGCACATACATACGCACGCACACTCATCCGTTCACACACACGCGCGCACACGCGCGCGCGCCACTCCATCATCTCACCTCTGATCATGTGGTGTGTGTGTGTGTGTGTGTGTGTGCGCGCGCGCAGGACGATGTGTATCCGGCATCGGACGAGCTCGAGTGGACGCTGGAACAGTTTATCAGCCTCTGGGTGTAAGTTCACGTCTGCACACACACACACACACACACACACACACACACACACACACACACACACACACACACACACACACACACACACACACACACACACACACCCAAGTGGACGCAGGCTTGACGAGCTCATGCACTGCCTCCCCATTTCCTGTATGTGCAGATACCTGTGTTGGTCTGATCCAAGCGCGTTCATGCGCACACTCGCATATCTCGGCTTCAACTTCCGCACGCCGACAAACACACACGGTTCTGTCAAGGACGCCATTCGACGTGAGTCGCTGCTCTTTCTTTCATAGTGGAGGGGGTATTGTTGCGCTCGCTCGCGTCCTTGTGCTCCAATCGTCACCACCACCACCATCATCACCATCACCACCACACCACGATCACCACCATCGCAGCGTCGCGTGCGCGGCGGGAGGAGCGACGAGTTGGGAAGTCGACGCGAACCGTTCACGTTTTGTTCATCTTCGGCAAACAGCAGGCCGGCAAGGTCGGGGATGCGCATGGAGAAGGGTGGTTGTGATGCATAGTGACTGTGAACATGATTGTAAGTGCACACGTTTGGGTGCATACACATGTTTTCGCCTCTCTCAGTTTTACTCACTCACATCCGCAACCGCCACATTCATGCCGACGACGTGTGCGTGTGCGTGTGTGCAGACGTCATTGCTGAAAGCTCTTGCGCGAACAGGCAGCCAGTTTGTTCTCGGCTACAAATCCCGAAAACGGACATGTGTTGGCTGCATTGAACACAACGGCGACACACACCACCTCATTGTACGATGCATGCACTCGTGTGTGTTTATGTTTGTGTGTGTGTGTGTGTGTTTGTGTGAGTGAGTGAGTGAGTGAGTGTGTATGTATGTGTTCATGTGCGTTCATGTGTGTATGTGGAGAGTTCGACAGGAACAGGGTACGAAACTCACTGCTCTGCCAACTGTTTCCCCGACGTTGCACGCTGCTGTTGCTGGCAGCTGCGGGAGTTTGCAGTGAACGGCGACGACCACGAAGTCATTTCGTCCTCGTACTGCGCTGATGTAAGAAGCGGACTTGGCATGGACCGCTCAAATGCTCCTCTCCTGGCCGTTGCGTTCACTGGACGCCATGACTTGCACTGTGACCCACACACACACACACACACACACACACACACACACACACACACACACACACACACACACACTCACTCACTCACTCACTCACTCACTCTCTCTCTCTCACTCTCTCACTCTCTCTCACTTGCTTGCTTGCTTTGTGTTTCTGTTTTGTGTGTGCCAGAAATGCGATGTTGCCGCGCTGTGCTTTGACGTCACAGATCCTTCGTCCTTTGCCCACGCAGCAGACCTGCAGGTGCGACACACACACACACACACACACACACACACACACACACACACACACACACACACGCACGCACATACATTCATTCATCCCCCCCACACAAAAAAAAATACTCCCACTACAGGCCGCCGTTGTTCGTCCCGGTCCTCGTTGCGTCATGCTTGCATGCAAAGCGGACGAGGTTGCTGTTGAACAGCAGTTCCCACTGCAGCCGCCAGAGTACTCCAGGCAACACAACATCCCGCTCGTACAGGTCTGCACATCTGCGCGCGCGCGCGCGCGCGCGTGTGTGTGTGTGTGTGTGTGTGTGTGTCGCACAGCACCACGGCGTCATGAGCAAGCCCTTCAAAAACGGCCAGTAGCTGCGATGCAACAACTACACACGTACATTTACACACGTTCGCGCACGTCATCACGCTCACCACGACCACTGCTCACGCCCCCCCCCCCCTTTCCCTTTCCCTTTTCTCTTTGCTGCCCATCAGGTGTCCTCCCAACGTGGTGATACGGACGATGCATTTGCTGCTCTTGTCGATCAGGCATCAAAACCGTACGTCACCATGCACCAACAGCTCTCATTCCCGGCTGCTGCTCATGCTTTTGGTTCTGCTTCATTTCGTTGCTGTGCTGTCTGCTCGTGTGGTTGGCACCCGCTACCTTCCATCTGCAATGCGGCCAGCCCATTCGCTGCCTTTATCATGTGCGCTGGCCTTTCCTTCTGCCGCCGTCTCACACCGCGTCTTCTTCTCCCTTCACACCGCGACCAATTGCAGTCGAGAGAGTGATGGTGGTTTGGGAAGTGGCATCTCGTCACGGTCCCTCTCGTGGTTGCGGACAGCTGGCGCCATCGCTGCCGCTGCTGTTGCTGCATACTTTGCATTCAGGTACGACCCCGTACATACATGAGAGAGAGAGAGAGAGAGTGTGTGTGTGTGTGTGTGTGTGTGTGTGTGTGTGTGTGTGTGTGTGTGTGTGTGTGT